TCTCCCCTCCCGGCCTGCCCCGCCTGCGCCAGCCCCGAGTATCTAACCTTATACAAGTCTCCCCGTTTCCACCGAGATGCCAACCAAATCATTACCGTCGTGATAATAACAACGACACAGACACAGAGCAGCCACAGAGAAGACTTTTTTTTTTTCTTTCTTGCACGTGGGGTCAGCATGTTCTTATCATTTGGCCTCCTGGGGGGGCCCCTATGAAGACCCTTCCCCTCCGTCCTGGGGCTTCTAGGATGGGCTACCTGTTCTTTCTCTCCCTCCAGTTTAAAAATGTGAGCTGACTCCAAACTCACTTTGGAGCCGGCTCCTCCTCGCTGCTCTCGGCCAGAGAAGGGAGGAGGAGAGTGGATGCCCCTCTCCACTCCCCCCCCCCCCCCCCCCCCCCCCCCCGCAAGGAATCTTCTTTCCTTAATCACTGATCACTGCTAACTTCCCAGACCCGCTTGGTGAAGTATCAGAGTGAACTTTGTAGCTTTTAAAAAAGACTTCCCGCAACATAATGGGCAATAACTTCTGTGGTCCCGTGGTATTCCGGCTGCTTTCGGCGGGGAATGGACTCCGAAACCGTCTGGCTCTGCAGGAAAAGCGAAACTGAATTACTTAGCCCTTTAGGTGCGTTCCTCTCTCGTGCCAGATCAGCAGCCACGACGCTCCGAAGGGGCATCTGGGAACAGGGGGACAGTATTAATTACCCCAAGCAACGGAACGAGCCCTTTGAAACTCAGCTGGTAGTTGCATCCTGGGTGAAGGGCCCCCGCTGCCTCAATATTCAGCTACCTTGTAGCCGTGCTTACCTATCGCCAGAGCGCTGCCAGGACGGACCCATTCATCAGAAATGCAGATCCTGGGAAACTGTTTCTCTGCATCTCATTCCTTAGAGCTAATCTGTATAGTTTCAGACTCGAGTTAAAATTAAATTCATAGGAGTCAATATTTAATTAATTGGACTTAAATGAATATTATAACTGAGTCAAAAATTTTGAATGTACTGGTGGAATTTCTATAATCACTTGCAGGGGTTTTGCTCGTAAAAGTCCAGGGCCCATAGGAACCATATAACATATTTGGCTCTTTTTAATTAACTGCAAGTTGGCCACTTATTTAAATAATGTGCCTCCCCACCCCCCACCCCCATCCCAGACACCTACTTATTTGTAAAATGTGAACGATTTAAAGGGCAAGGGACGTACGCAGAGAAACCATCTGGCTAGTTGGGACCCTCACCGAACTTGGGGACAGGAAAGTGCAAGTCCTGACCCAATGTCCACATCCACTGGCCCAAGATGCAGCAGCAAACACATCCATATTTCTGCCCAAGGCAGTTTGGGTATTCCGACCAAACGGGTAGATAAGGACCATGAACAACCTCAAGCCAGTTCGGGTTAGATTTTTGTCTGTGCCAGATTTACCAGAAGCTTGCAAATTTCAGAGCTTTCTGGCCTCAGCATGGTTACAAGGGATTGGGGACTTCACATATTTAAAAAGGCATTTCTACTCCCTTTCTGGAATTCAAATGCCAAGTAGCTCTGCCATGGGTCATGTTCTCTAGACACGTGCCTGGCATACTTAATGTTCCCGATGCGTGAATGAATGGAATATGCATTGGGAATGAGAGCAAAAGCTGAAAACCACGTATGCGCTTCTTGGAGATCGAAAGAGCAGCAAAGGAATTCTCACAGGGGCGGAAGAAGAGAAGAGGGAAGACGTTAGGAGAAGAAGACCCAGAATCAAGGGTGCTTGGGATGAGGAGTAGGTGAAGGGGGTTGGGAAGAAGAACCAGGCAGGGACCCTAGCAGATCCGTGCCTGGGAAGCATGGCCTGCGTAAGGTGACGGGTGGGAGACCAGGCCCTCGGGCCTTCCTGGCAAAGTCTGTCCAGCTGCCTGCTGGCCACATGCGGGTGGATTCTGACAGGCAACTTCAACACGGGGTGGCCAAACTGAGCTCCCGATAAGCCCACAGTCTCCTCTAGGCTCCGCACCTCCCCTCCCCCCCCCCTTAGTAGTTATCAGCTGGCTTCTTCTGGTGGACCGGGCCAAAACTTTGGAGTCGTCCTATATTCTTTTTCTCGCAAGCCACCAGCAAATGCTCCGGCTCCACCATCAGCGGGGACCTAGAATCTGAGCACACCTCACCCATCCCCCGGCCAGCCCCCACTCCAGGCCACCAGCGCCTCTCGCCCAGATGAGGGGGCACATTACCTCCTGTTGCGTAGCCCTCAACTCAGAGCCCCCCCTCCCCCGATGGCTCCCATCTCACTTGGAGCCAAGGCTGGTCTCCTCCCGCCCTGGGCCTCTCCAACCCAGCGCTCTCGTCGCTGACAGTGATCCTGTTCCTCACTCCACGTCAACCCTGAAGGCCTCTTGGAAGTGCCCCAAGCCTTCTGTCTAGTAGGCTCTTCACCTATGTCCTTGGGGGGCTACTCCCCCAGCACCCTCAGGCCTTCCCAGACCACCCCGTCAAAAGTGACACCCTCTCAGCCCCCTTCCCCGCCTTCTCTTCCTATGGCCCACAGGCCAGACGTAACGCGCATCCATTTTCTCATCACCATCTCGTCAGAGGTTCAGCTCCTTAAGCGGAGGAAGTGCTTAAGAATTAGCCCTGTGTGTCTAATTAAGTTCTCTTTCCTCCGAGCAGAGCCCAATTCTGGCACTGAGTAGCCATGCACTCAATGCTTGTTAAGTGGATGGTTTCCTGCATACCTACGGGGGCAGCCGAGGTAAAAACCGAGAGCTGCTGCTTAACCCGCGTATGTCGCCGCCCGTGTGTCCTGGAACAGTTTGGGGTGGACGAATGGGGGTTAGAGGGAAGAGTAAAGAGAGAATGCAGAGCCTGGGGCTGGGGCCCAGCAGCGAAGGGCTGGCGCGTGGCGTCTCCACCGCCTAGCTCAGGGGCTCCAGGGAGGGTGTGGCGTACGTGAAACCGATCCTAATGGCAATATAGTCACCATATTGGAAAGACTATCGCTCACTACTTAGCACAGGGCCTGGCCCAGAGCGGAGTCTTTGCAGGGACTAGCTGTTAGCTATTCTTATCACAATGGTTATTATTACTATCAGGGAGCCCACGAGCAGTAGCAGCCTGGGATCGTGTCCTTATTTGGGTTTTCCGACCAGCACTGGTGCCAAGGAGGCCTTCGGGAAATGCGTTTTGCCCGATGGAGTGGGTGAGCCTGCGCTGTCTTCGGCGGAGGAAGGCCCTCCAGTGAGGGGGAAGTTGCCTGGCACAAACGCATCATTCCGTGGGCGTTAAGCGGCTGGAAGTCATCCCTGCTGCTTGTGGCACGGGCCTGGCTCGCCTTAGTCCCCGCGCGTCTCCCTTTTGGCTGGGCTTTGCCTAGTCGCCAACCCTACACACCGACATTTAGAAACTGGTTTCCCTGCTCTGTTATCGCTG